ATTTTACTGTGAACCCGAATCCGCCAGGGGTGTCAAATGCAGCATTATGAGCAACTAATAAACATGGCTTACAAGAAATATTTAAGAACTCTTGAAAGGAAAGCAGAGCATCTTTTAACGTTATCGCTTCAATTTCTTTATCGCGTAAATAAAGCGTCCCACATTTTTGATGAAGACCTGTTACTTTAGATGCAGATGGATTAATTTTTTTTGTCGGTATCGCGTAAAGACTGAAAGAATAATCTTTGAATTTGGCTGCAATCTGTAATATGTCAGCATTTTTCTCGAAACCTGAAGTTTCTAAATCAAAATAAACGATAGTGAAGTCTTCTTGATTAACGAGATTTTGCTGAGTAGATTGCAACGTTTCCAAAAATTGAGGTTCCAAAGCAAAATTAGTTTTTTCTGAGTCAATATCAAAACCGCAATTAGACTGATAATTTATCCCTTCAGTATTTTCTTTTTTTTCCGCAAATTCTCTCTTCTGCCCTTTGAGATTTTACTTTGTCTGCTTTTGCTGTAAATGATTCTGTATATTTACCTGGGGAAACATTCAGCTTTAACATTACATCCAATAGATGACCATCACCATCATTTTTTGTACAAACTGTACTAGCCAACCGAAAATCAGCAGACTCACTGAGACTGTAACACCGGTTTTCCGGTGCTTTGTGAGCCATTATATTATTGACACTTTCGTTTGCTTGGCTTGAAGCAGCAATCGAAAATTTAGCTGCATTGTTTGCATATTTTATAAATATCTGTTTCAACTTATTGTACAACCCTGCATCTTTCAATAAAATTGTTTGTTTTTTATCATCATTTGACTTTCAACTACATCATTGACCACAGTTTTCGTGATTACCAAATGCATGATCCGGAATTTGACGTAAAGCATCAGCTAGTTGAGCAGCATTACCCTTATTTTGACTCACTGCATAACCAAAAAATTTTTTGAGATGCGGAATTGTTTTTTTTTTGTTTTATTTCCGTAAATTGTTTTTGTAATCCATACAATTCATTTACAAAATGTTTGTTTAAATGATTCTTATCTGCCAGCTTGAAAATTTTTTCTCTTATATTTCTACGTACATTTGCTATAGTTGAGCTATCTTCATCCCCTATAAGTACACGAGCACTGACTGAAGCATTTTGAAGGATAGTACTATTATTGAGTAATTGAGCACCAACATCTGGCTCCATTGCTTTTGCACTGCCTTCAAAATTTTTCCGACAGTCATGATCATCTTTTTTATGACCTAAATCACATAGTCGACATTTGCGATTGCGAGACGAAAAGTCTAAAATTTTTTTGGACAAAAACCCTATAACAGTGCCATAACCATTAAGGCTATCGTAGCTTCTACCGTTTCCACGCTTGCTCCATCCCATATCATATGAGAGGATAATATTAACTATTTGTCCTACAGCTAAATCGAATTTCGCCGGATTATAAACCGTGGTATTATTATTACAGTCTAATGATGATATATTTTCAGCATTTGAAGCTTGAAGATCAGTCATAAAAAGATAAATTTCTTGCACTATTTCTGGAGGGCTGAAAGAAAAAAGAAAAAGAAAAATAAAGTATGAGTTTAGAAGGAACAAATAATTGATAAAAAATTTTTCTGTACTTTACATTTAATTTAAAAAATTAAAAAGAATATCATTTTGCAGTATAGATCGTAAGTAATATTATTTAAAATTTTTTTTTTATTCGGCAATCTTTGACAGATAATAATGAAAATCACTTGTACTAATGATCTACCGTTTTGCTTATTACAATAACCAAAATTATTTCTGTATAATAAAAATTTTAAAAATTATATACAATTAAACATTTATAAATAAATCGAATTTATCAATGATTACATATTAGGGTGCTTCATTTTTAGGCGATATTTTATTTTTCTCTGTGCTACCTGAAAATCTGATACTTTATAAAAAATAAAAAATTATGCCCCCGAGTAAAAGGCTTTAAGTGCAATAGCGGCTTAGCTCATTTAAAAATTCAATTTCCTATTTAAATAACATAGAAAAAATTTTTTTTTCGTTTTCAACTTGATTTTTCGACGTGAAAAAATTTTTTTTGGAAAAAACGCGTGTATAGCTTTTGTAGAGCATAAAATTTGCTACAAAAAAATCCTCTGTGTAAATCCCCCCCGACCAACAGCTTTTGAGTTATACAGTTGCGAAGATGAATGTTTATTATATTTCACATCAAATCATTTCTAAATCAAGATACAAAGACTTACCCATGAGTTGCTCAAAATTTGCTCAAGATGAAATGTTTTTGAATGACCGTTCGCATCATTCTACCCCTCCTATATTTACTATAGAATCAGTGGATTTCTGAGAATTACGGATCTTGAGCAAATCTTGAGCAAGTCATGGGTAAGTCTTTGTTGTGAGTTTCTGGTACAAAAAATGCGTAAGAAAGTTTTTCAATGCACCTTGCATTAGACTTGTCTCATATTCTTGCACAAGATGTCTTGAGCTAGTTACATATAAATCTTGAACCATCTCTTTTTAAATAAACTTGAGCAAGACCCATATGTAGAAAAAGACACTAGCAACTAGGGGTTTTGCTCAAGACGCTGGCACCAAAATCTTGCTCAAGCACATGTTACTTGGGTATATATTAGGGTGTGCCAAAATGTAACTTCCTTGATGGACCTCTTAAAATTGGAATTTTGAGTTCCGCTTTTAACAGGAGCTGTGTATGGGCATTTCCTCACAAATTTTGGGTGTAAAGTATTTATTTGATTTTTATAGAATTTTTTATCAGGAGTTTCGTTCGGTCATTTTTGCTGGAATTCAAAAATTTCAAAATTTAGCCGAACAAAACTCCTGTTAAAAAATTCTATAAAAATCAAATAAATCTTTTACGCCCAAAATTTGTCAGGGAATGCCTAGATTCCCAACTATATAGCCACTCATCACGAAATCTCGGGAACCATAAGACTTAGAAACGTGAAACTAGGTAGAAATATTACTTTTGTTATGTAGAGGTAAGCTGAGAACGTATTAAAAGAAATTTTTCCCCCAAAGGGTATTGCGGGGGCGTTAAAAAATCAAAAATTCCCGTTTTTAAACTATAGCTCCTGTAGACTCCAAATTTAGCTAGAGGATTGCGGGGATGGGTGTTAGAATATTTAATTGCCATTCCCAAACTATAACCTCTACAGACTCGGAATTTGGTAGGAATCTTTTATTTATAATGTAGAAATCATCTCGAATAGGATTTAACGAAATTCCTCCCCCACATAGCAGTACGGAGGTGTTAATTATCAAAAAATTCATATTCTTCGAATACAGTTCCTACAGATATAAAATTTGAAAAAATCTCAAGAGAAACAGGAAATTACTGAGATGGCCTCCAAGGTCAACCGTTTTGAATATTCTTCTTTCTCGATAATTGGATATCAGCTAAAAACGAATTTCGCGATAATTGATTTCATATGTAGGTTATGTCAGAGTACTGAATAGTATGTAAAAAAATGTTTTCGTTTATAAATTAGAACTTCTTGAGACATGAAACTTAGGACATATCTATTAAATTTCAATAAATTCAGTAAAAATTTCTTTACAACATTCGTCTCTTTAGCGGCAAAGAAAAAGTCATTGTAATCTTTTCATTACAATTTTACATTTATTTTACTGTCGCAGATCACATAACAGATGAATTCTTTTATTGCGGGGATGCGCGGGAATGTAACAGATTAAAATGAGTGCATTTTCCAAGCACTTGAGATGTGGGAAAGAAATTTGGCTACTTATTTCAATAGAATTCATAAAAAACATGTTCACTAATTTTCTATAAAAAATTAACACCACGGAGAAAATTTTAGTTAACGGAAAATTCGTCGCATTTTAAGCTAGGAAGATTTCAATTTCACTTATGAGACCTGCAATTACTTCAATTGAAAGTCAATGCTTATTTTAAATTTTTTAATTCGTGATAATTTTATTTTTCATTTTTGTAAGAAAGCCACGGAAATGTTATAATAATTGTGCATTGAAAGTTACAATCAATATTAGCTAGAAAAATCACATAGATAAAAGGTACAGGCTAATTCGAGGGAATTCGGAATCTATACAAGTCAAAACAATATCGATGCTAAACTTAAAAGCTGTTGGTCGGGGGGGATTTACGCAGAGGAACTTTTTGTAGCAAATTTCATGCTCTACAAAAGCTATACACGCATTTTTTCCAAAAAAATTTTTTTCACGTCGAAAAATCAAGTTGAAACCGAAAAAAAAATTTTTTCCATGTTATTTAAATAGGAAATTGAATTTTTAAATGAGCTAAGTCGCTATTGCACATACAGCCTTTTACTCGGCAGCATAATTTTTTATTTTTTATAAAGTATCAGATTTTCAGGTAGCACAGAGAAAAAAAAATATCGCCTAAAAATGAAGCACCCTATTACATATACTTTTTTAGATTGATTTTATAAACTGACTTAATTCTGTCATAAAACTTGTGTATAATTTTATATAGATACTGAGATGTCAGAAACAAATTAATGTATATTATTTACAATTCTTAATGCTATTCATGTACTTTGCCTTATTTACAATTCAACCAATAAGATGAATGGATTTTTAAAGTTCTTCAAGATTTATAAGTACTCGGCTACTCTTATCTAATAATTACTAGAAATTTCAATAGCGTATGCATACTTAATTAAAAATATAACAATGATTTTCATTATAATCATGAGTAATAGTCGATAAAAAAAAATAGTAAAAAAATAAAAATTACTCCTTACAGTTCTTTACTTAAATTTATAATATTATCTATAACTAATTGACGTTCTTCTTCAGCTGCCTGTTTACAACTTTCTCTAGCTCTTTCTTCCAGGGCCGGGCCAATTTCTCTCTCATATCTTTTAAATAATGTTGATGAAATTGTTGGAATATTTAAACAAGCCAATAATTTATTTAATGCTGTGCATCCCATACCAGCATGGACAGTACCTAGAAAAAAAATCAAAATAATCACATTTTGAAACAATAATGGAATTGATGAAATTATTTTAATTGTCAATATCTAAATTACTTACCCAAAACAGCTTTAGTATTTACGTCCAATTTATTTTTTTTTGTGATTTAACAAGCGCATTTTCCCTGTTGGGACTAACATATTAATAGAGCATTTGTCACAAAGAATTGCTAGGATGGAGTTAAGTCCAACACGTTTTTCGTTGATAACATTTTCTAATGATAGTAATCCTTGACAATTTTTGCATTTTAAATTTTTTGCAAGTGTCGACAACTCAACAATACGTCTACCAGGACAAATTTCATCAACTTTGCTGTGAGGATTTACTATTTTATCACGTTCTTCTTTTCCTCGTTTGATATTAATCACTTTCTTTATATTATTATCTAACACTTTTTTTTTTGCAAATTTACCTTTATGACGTAAATAATCTGACATTTCGATTTATTTATATGATAATTAATAACGCGTTGTATACTCTGAAATTTTTGTTTGGTTATGTCTTACGACTATAATAATAATAATAAATACTAAACGCGAGAAAGATGCGCAGTAACAATCAACGTTGTTGCCACGATCATTTCTCGAGTGTTATAGATGTATGTGTATGTACACGTATAAATATTATTTAGATGTGTGTCTGAACAGTACGACTGTACTTTGACAAAAGTTTCTTTAATAAGCCATTGTTTGGATAGTCATAATTCATAATTTATTTATTTTACCGAATCTCATTAAAATTTAACACTTATTTAAATAATAAAATAAATAATATTTTTACTGTTAGGTAGTAACAGAGCAGACCAAAACATCTCATAGGAAATGTAATAAATTTTGTATTTCAGAAATATTTAAACGTAGTTGTAAACATCATTTTACACTTTTTGTGATTACCAAAAAAAAATTTTTTTTCGAAGAAAAAATTTTTTTACAGTAGAACCTCGATAACTCGAACTCCAAGGGAGAGGCAAAAAAATTCGAGTTATTGAGTTTTCGATTTATAGAGGACTTTGTAGAACTGTTACCTATAAAGGTTGTAATAAATGAAATTTCGAACTACAAAGGCATTTAATTCAAGTCACGTCATTATTATTTATTTCATTATAATGTATGAAATTTATGTGCTATAAAATTTATTAATTTAAATAATCAGTAATATTGTGTCCCAATGATTTTGAAAATTCTGCTTTTTCACGTAATATTGTCCCACTTATACTAAGATTTTTTTCACGACACTGCTTGAACCATGTTAAAAAACACTCTTCTATATCAGGAAATTCTGCTAGGCGTTGTCTCTTACACGTTAAGTTATAACTTGTTTCAAACCTTGACAAAATATCAGGCTCATTTTCTAAAATCGTTGATAAAATACTCGCTGCTAATCCATATTGATCAGATATTTCTTTACGTCTCACTGCTTGAATAACATCTACTTTATCACGAAGAGTCAAAGTTTTCAATTTTCGTTTACTCGTCATTTTGCAAAGAATACTGTGAGCTGACTGATGAATTTCTTTCAAGCCATGCATTAAAGAAGAAGTCAATACAAGTGTAAGTAAGCATACAAAAATAAGCCAATGTCAAGGACAATATACCTTCAATTTGCGATAAGGAAAAACATAAATGTACAAGATGACATCATCACAATTTCATACTTCGACTTATCGAGTCTTTCTTTGGAATTTCGAGTTGTAGAGTCTAAATTTATATGAATAATACTTCACGGGATGGAATACATTGTTCGAGTTATAGAGTCAAGGAAGTTCGAAATATCGAGTATTATGGGTCTGAACGGAAGGGAATCGCATTTTTCTTCAACTTACTGAGGATTTCGACTTAACGAGGTTTGAGTTATTGAGGTTCTACTGTATATGTAAATTATATATAAGCATATATAATTATTTATGATTACATATGACCTCATATACAATTCCATATATAATCGGTTACATGTTGATTCAACCCCTGAAAATTCGTTCCCGGACATTTGAGCCCGGTCACTTGAACCTCTGAAATTGAGCCGTCGGTCATTTTAACCCCCGGTCTTTTGATCCTTGGAAATTCATCATTAAAAAACAGAAAATATTTTCATATCAGTGAGGGGCTTCGCCCCTGGACCCCAACTATTTTAACAAGATTGATATGTGCGTTTACTCAGAAATATTGCAACATAATCGCCCGTAATCGTGTTGCGCACTTTTAACAAGATTTGTGTATGTGTTTACTCAGAAATATTGCAACACAAACGCCCGTAATCGTGTTGTGCACTTTTAACAAGATTTGTGTGTTTGTTTACTCAGAAATATTGCAACACAAACGCCCGTAATCGTTTTGCGCATTTTTAACAAGATTTGAGTGTGTGTTTACTGTTACGTTCGGGTGACGATAACACAATTAATTAATTAGTTCCTTAAATTTGAGACGAATCACCGAAGATTATATGTCTCGGGAGGCGGGAACCGCGCCTATAGGTAACTGCACGCGGGTCTTATGTGATAATGGGCTTGAAAAATTATAATAATTCTTGGGGAACCCCGGCTCTGTTAGGGTATCCCTTTTGGGGTAGGTCAGGGCACAAGCGAAAGAGAAGGCAAGTAAAATGGTATTGGATAGACGAAGAAAGAATTATACCTGAGTGAGTGAGACACCGAATTGTTGTTGGGCCCTCATCCAAGTACCTGAATGTCGGAAATGCAAGGGTCGTTGACCGATGCACCGTGACTGTCGACTAATTAACTAAATGGTCAGGATAATTAGTTAAGGTGTTTATTAATGAATCCGATATATTTGAGTAACTTACGGTTGTTTATTGTAACAATGTGCGAATACAAAGAATAGCTATCGATGATTGACTGGTTGAAATGTGTAATTGTTTACAACAATAATTAATAATTAATTATTTGAGAAGAAACAAAAAGAAACGACTGAACTACTGATCACACCCGCGGTTATAGGAAGTACTGGTGCTTCCCGGTTGCCGTGGCTGGGTTTTTATACACTCACAAGTCCCTCCTCCTCATTTACAATTTTAATAACCCTTCGTATAAAATTTCGATGGAATTTTTAGATAACGGGCTACGGAATTTAGGAATCGCTATGCAATAGCAACGCTAATGCATAAAAACTCTTTTCTATTTTCTGAGATTTGAACGCGGTCGGGTTAATCCTGATTACCTGCGGACTGCGTCCCGTAACTCAGCGGTTGTTTGCTCAGGTGAGAATGCTCGCGATGGACTTGCTAGGCGTTGTTGCGATTAACCTTCCCCTTATCTTTCAGAATGATTTTCTTACAGTGAGAGTTTTCTATCTCGATAATGGAATTCCGATTCTCTTGGATAAATAATTATATAGCATGGGTGGCCCGAATATTCTCGGTTATCTAAATTTCTTGTTCTTTTTATTTTCGGCTCGGTGATTATTTATTTAGGGTACGCGAGATATCGCGACGTACATTCACACAGCGTATACGTTCTTTTTGTTTGGAAATTTTTACGTGGATAGTTGTTATTCTCTTTTTCACGATAGTTGGACCGTGATGATTTTCTCTTTCTAAATTCCGGCGAGCTGATAACCGGGTGCAGCTGTTCGAAGATTATTTACTCAAGAAATAAAATATTTCCGTTCACTTTTATTTATTAATTAATTCTTTTTGTAAACTTTCAAATTTTATTTGGATTTTTAAAATCACTAACGTATTAATCCGAATTCTATAATATTCTTAAACAATTGATC